TTTATGGTTTGATTTCTTTGTATGTATGGATCACTTGGGTTGTTACCGACATCTGGTGAAAATTTCACGTCATTAGCAACTCTAGTAATATATTTACTGAGAAAAATGTTGACGTGTTCAATACTTATTTTACCCGCTGTAAATTAGCCTTGTTGTGCAGTAATCCTTTCACTGGGGGGTTAGTTACACTTTAAAAACACAACAAACATGATTTTTACTTTGGAAGCACAAACACTGACAATGTTCTGTTCCAGGGTCTCACCTGACCCAGGTCTTAGTCCTGCTGAGACCGAGTGTCTGTGTTTTMTCCAGGACCAAAGCGTGTCGATACTTCGACGAGGGACGTGGAACGTGTCCTTTCGGCTCAAACTGCTTCTACAAACACGCCTTCCCCGACGGCCGCCTGGAGGAAGCTCAACCACAGCGACGACAGACCGGCTCCACCAGCAGGAACCGGGTAACTAAAACCTAATTCAGTCCCAAACTGGGCCTGCTGAACGCCCAGCAGTTATCGTGCTGACGACTGCTCCGACCCGCAGAACTCGCGGCGGACGCCTCTGTGGGACATCTTCGACGAGCGGGAGAGCACGGACTCGTTCGACACGGAGGACGAGGAGATGGTGACGTTCGAGCTGAGCGAGATGCTCCTCATGCTGCTGGCTGCAGGAACCGACGACGAGGTGACAGATTCAGAGGACGAATGGGACTTGTTTCACGAGGAGCTCGACGATTTCTATGAGATTTACCTATAGCGCTCTGACCCCCTAAGCCCCTCCCCCCTAATATATACTAGACACTAGAATGGACTGTCTTGTGTGAGTGATGGACAGTAGCTTCCCCCTGTATCGTGGCAGTGCCTTTAAGCAGGCCATTATTAAATAAAGGAACTTATAAAAGCTAAAAAAGAAGAATCCCCTCAGTGCACTCGTGCTAAACATTTTATAGCCCTCTGTCCTCGTGAGTCTCCTGTGTTTATGTTAAATGAGGAAATAAAACTCAGTATAAAGTTTAACATAAATAACCCTGATCGGATATATAATAAACATTGTCAAGTTTGTGGGCGTGGGTTTGACTTGTTTCTTACCGATCCAGATGTTTGTACAGATTTGAGACTTGTTTACTGTAACTGGTGATCAGCATTGTCGAAGGTTTTACACACTGTTTCTGAAGGCCGGAACTTCTCTGTTTATAAAAGCTGCTCAGAGCCAATATATATTGTGCTGATATTAAATAAATTGACCATATCCACTTTTATGTTGTGCATAAAAAGTATCCAGTGCTCCAATACTGACTCTGTTTATTTTGGGGGGGTTTGAGGGGATAAAACAACCACAGTGATGAAAACAGGAACAGGAAGTGATGCAGTTTTCACAGCAAGAAAAGGAAGTTCGAGGTAAGATGCTGCTTTTTTTTCCCATCCTCCGTCAGCTGTTTGTGCAGGTGTGTTTACAAAGTAACCTAACATTTTTTTAATGTAAAACTTGCAGAAGAATGTCTTTAAACAACTTTATTTTCCTGGTGACTCACTAAGCTGCTGGTCTTCACTTCAGTTAGAAATCTTAATCTACCAGGTCTTCATTAACGGCCCCGATGGGACTGAGAAGCTCTGAGAAATGTTCCTTCTGATGAGGGCTGTGTATTCGCAAGAATTAGGTGATACGATACATATAACAGAGGGGTCACGATACGATATATCCCGATATATTGCGATGCTGTAAGCAAGGCAGTATATTGTGATATATTGCGATTTTTTTTGTCCAAAAAWTCTATTAAATAAAAACCTCTTACTGAAAAAAAAAGAAAAGCTAATGTTTACTTACAATGCTAATGCTACKCTTACTCTCTGGCGCTTAAAGGGCTCGACACACGGGAGGCGACGTCTCTCGCTCTCCATTCATTTCCTATGGAGCCTGTGCGGTGAGGCGACAATCGCTTGCCCTCCTCCAGCTAAGCGACCGGCGAAAATAGTGCATGTGAAAGTTCGCGCTCGTATACGTACACATGCGAGCTTGCGACGCAACATATGAAAGTTGAAAAATGTTCAACTTTTGTCGCTGTCGCTTAGCG